GAAATATTCACAGAGGGTAACACACGTAACGTTCAGTTAACACACGTAACGCACCAATTTCACCAAAATAAAGAAGTTTTTATTGTTGCAAGAAATTTTTAAAAATCACTAAACACAACTTCGATATTGTATCTCTCTATAAAGGAAAATATCTTAATTTTTTGCCTTCATACTTCACAGAATTAAATGAATATATTCAAAGTTTCAAATATCTAGCATTATAAAGGGTAACACACGTAACAAAATTTCAGAAATTTTTTTTTTCAACATCAAATTAATTTGCGCCTTCAATCTTCGTTTTGAAAACTTACAACACATATAGATTTAACAACAAATTAAGAAAAACATAAAAAATATCTAACAAGTTTATTATAATAAGTGTTAAAGTTGAAATATGTCGTGTAAAAGTAACACACGTAACGAAAGAATCGCCCTTAAGTTCTTAGAAGTTTTGAGTCTTTGCAACAACAAATTTATTAAACTATTCTAAGAAACATTACCTGGATTCATTATTAAAAATTTCTTATTATTTTTCAGTGTAGTATTGGTATATATAATATAACAACGATTAATTAAATAATACAGTAGGGAATCGATTATCCGGAACGGTCGGGACGATCGCTATTCCGGATAACTGATTTTTCCGGTTTTCTGAATCGCTACAAAAAGCCGCTTTTTTATTGTTAAACCCAACTAAAAAAAAAAAAAAATTGGAAATAATCTTAAAAATAAGAAAAAAAACGATGAAGTAATAGACTAATGATTATTTCCACAATGATGGTAAGGTAAACATCTTTAAAAAAAGAAAGAAAAATCGTAAAATCTTATGAGGAAAAAAATTTTTTTTTAAAAAAAGGCGAGAAAATTTATCGAATTTCGTTCCGGTTTTTGGGTTTTCCGGTTTTCTGATTTCCGGATAACGGATTCTGTACTGTATAATTAAATAATATAAATAATATAACAACGATTAATAAAAACGAAATTAAAATAATAAATTTGTTGATTTTTTTTGATACAAAATTATGCAATGCATATAATTTTTTAATGAGTTCTGTTTAGGCCTAAGTTTTAGAATATTCATAAAATATATAAATGTATCTTGATAAAATATAATAGAAAAAAAAAAGCACATTAAGTTGTTAGAAGAGGTTTTATTCAAATTTTTGAAAAAATGCCGAAAAGAGAATAGGTTATAGCAAATTTTGAAATTTTTAATAAAGTTTATTTTGAGAAGTGTACACATGTAGCAGTTAAAACAGGCATCATTCAAATTCCAGAAAAATGCCTATCTTGGAGAAGCTCGGAGAACATTAAGAAGCACCTTCAGAAAAAGATTTATTTTGGAAAAGTGCATTCAAACAGTAGTTAAAACACGCTTGAGTCTATTTTTTGAATAAGTTCCTAACTTTAAGCAGATGTTTGGTAGTCTGAAACAACAATCTAATTAATATGTAAGCCGCTTTTTAATGAACTTAACCACAAAGAAACTCACTTTCAATGTTAAAAGACAAAATTCAATATTTGGGCTTTCTTTTCTTCCTTTAAACTACTTATTGAATATGAAACATGGTCTAATATAGAAGGTAATAAGAATGACATATGATTAACTACATAACCTCATTTTGCTAAAAAGTAATAATTACAATAACTTGGAGACAGAAAAATATAAGTAATTAACAAGAGTAAGTAAAGTAAGGCATAACTCTAAAAAATAATTCTTTTCAAAAACGTTTTAACTAAAAGTATAATTAAATCAAGAAATAAAAAAAAAACATCATTAAAGATATTAAATATCTCTTACAAATGGATCATCTTCAACTCCAAGCACAACAATTATAGAACATTCCAGGCAAATGGTAGTAGTAATATTTACCACAGCAAGATTATCACATAAGTTTAAAACCTAAATAATAAACGAGAAAAGTAAACGAACAATTTAAGAGAAATATAAAAATAAGAATGAAAAAAAAATATTTGCTATTTTTTAACACAGTATAACATCAAACATCCAGAAACTTAATCAGTTTTAAACTAGTGGTCTGATAAAAAAATTTGTGAGTCACAATCATATTTTTTTTAAAAAAATTGATTATGAAATCCATGGCAAACATGCTGAAAAAGTGGTGGATGAAACCATGACTATTTACTCTGAAATTGACGGCAACTGAGAAATGAAAAAGAAATAACTCAATGGGATGATTTACTTGTCATTATAGTGTTTGGAAATATCAAGAATTTAAAAAAATATGGAAATCATTAGAATAACTGCTAAAAACCAAGTGAATTTGCAATGAAATCAAAAGAATTTAAAAAAAAAAACTTCATTTTCTAAGTGTGACATCTCTATTAATTTAGTAAAATAATCTAAAATTTGGAAATTTCTGAAATCGCGACCTTCCAAACTCTGGAATATTTAGGGTATAATATACTTTATATTTGTTTGCTTTACAATAAAAAAAAGAGTTTTTGCTTTACATTAAAGAAATCTGAATGGCAGTAAAATAAAAAAAAGTTTAAGTGTAAATAAAATGAAATAAATTAAACAGTAACACATCTGAAAAATATATGGACTTGATGCGATAAAATTACTACTCAAAAGAACCATTGCAGTACTTTTAACGTGAAATATATAAATTTTAAGGTGAAGTCGATACTCGTTTACCATTAAAAAAAATTTACTTTTAATGTGAATAGCAAGTTTATTTCCCCTCTGACGGGTAAGGAAGCTGATAAATTTCAGTTCTACATCCATAAAAGTAGTTTTTTTTAATGCTTTGTTATAGGGCTGATGATTGCAAACTTACAACAGTTAAAGGAAAGAGTTGTATGAATTGAATCTGTTGAGATCAAAGGGACATTACAGGAATAAACATAAGCCCTTTTGCCCACTAATATGTATGGAGTTTTCCTTCACTTTTATGTGTGTAAATGTAAAAATACACGTTTTCCAGAGAAAAGACTATCCATATTGATCCTTTGTTCAATGTGGGTAGTCAATTCTCTCACATGACGTTTGACTGTATAATAAAAAAAAGAATTGATTTTATAAAATATAACATAGAAATTACATTCATTTAAGTTGAAAATAATTTTTATGCTTTTATATTTTCAAGAAAGGGAATTCTTAATTTAAGAAATGAAATTCTAATTTCACTGAATCATAATATTTTTAGTCAAATATGCAGTAAACTGTTTATTCTTTTACTTTTATAATTAAACGAATAAAGTTTCTTCCCATTTTCTTTCACTAAAAGCTAATTTTCTGATATTTTAAAGAATTTACTTAAGATGATTTTTTTGTTGCCTTAATCACAAATGATTTATAGTTCCATTCGCTAAGTACAGTAGGGAACCGATTATCCGGAACGATCGGGACCATTCCTATTCCGGATAACTGATTTTTCCGGTTTTCTGAATCGCTACAAAAAGCCGTTTTTTTATTGTTAAACCCAACTAAAAAAATTTTTTTTTGGGAAATAATCTTAAAAAGAAGAAAAAACGATGAAGTATTACACTAATGATTATTTCCAAAATGATGGTAAGGTGAACATCTTTTAAAAAAGAAAGAAAAATCCTGAAATCTTATAAGGAAAAAAAAATTTTGTTTAAAAAATGGCGGGAAAATTTATCGAATTTCGTTCCGGTTTTTTGGTTTTCCGGTTTTCTGATTTCCGGATAACGGGTTCTGTACTGTATTTAAAATATTAGACAATTACTTAAATTTGCTAAATTTCACAGAAAATTTCCCACATTTTGGTAAGCCATATTATCTTTTCTTCCGGGGTCCGAAATAACCTGCTCTTTTCAAACAAATATAATAAAAAGATTACATTTTTAAGGTTTTCTTATCAAAGGTTTGATAGATACTAGAAAGAAGCGTGAAAATAATAAAACCGAAACCCCTCCCGAATCGACAATGTTTCACAAATTGGAAAACTATAACTATTTTATATATTTACATGGTTTTTATCGATGAATGTTATACCAGAAATATAAGAATTTTCTCCCACAGTCAGTGCTTTTGTTTCAATGAAAGAGTCACATATTATAGAGCTTTGAGGTATATCACAGGATTCTGCGTAGATGGAAGAATTAATTAACAGGCCTTGAGGGGTAAATGAACCAGGATTATCCACCTAAAATAAAGTGAATAATGTTTAAAAATTCTCTGTGACTTATTATTAGTCAGCAAGCATAAGTAACAATTAAAAATATCATAAGCATTAAAAATATCAAAAAATAAAATTGTGTTTTGAAGTTACAGAAATATAGGGTTTTGAGTGGCAGAAGTAAAGTTCTAAGTAATTGTTTATTTTGTTATGATAAACATATTAAATTGTCTTTACATAAAATTATAATTATATATTTTGTAAACCAAATCTTTCTTTTTTTTGAAAAATATCCACCTTAAAGGGAAAAAAAGAGAACAACGATGAATGAGATGCAACCATGTGGATTGGTAAGCTTGTAAAAGCATTAAAATTTTCTATGAAATCTTCATAAATGCTTTCTTTTACTAAACAGTATTAAAATTTTTTGTGAATGCTTTGACAGTTGGTATTTAATAAGAAATTAGTGTTTGTGTTGCACTTTCATAAATGAATACAAGGCCTCTTATGCAAAATTGCATTCTCATCTTTTGAGCTATATAATTTGCATAAATTTAGAAGAAAATTATCACTATACTTTTTCAAAAATTTGTAGAATTCCCTGCATAATATTGCTTTACGATATAACAAAATACTCAAAAATTAAAATTAACATTATGGAACTGTTACTTCTGATTGCTCTTCTGCTTAAAATTATTGGGACCATATTTTATTCATTGCAGCTAACCCTCATACTTTGAAAGCCAAGAAACCAAATATTTTATAAAAGATGAAAATATAATAATATCATAAGTTATTCAGGGGGTTTTCTTTTTTATTTTGCCCTTTGAACATAGCAATATTCAGAGTTAACGTTACATGTATTAACATATATTTTTACGTTATATGACGGAAAAAGATGTCAACAACAAATGAATTTTTGTTGTTGTCATCTAATTGATATAATGTATTGTAATAACTCACATTACTTTATGGATACTAAGCATCTTACTTTAAAGGAACAAAACACATAATTTAATTCTAACGATTATTACCAAGCATAAGGAATGTACAAGTTTTGAATTTGCTATCTTGAATAAGTTGGACATGTGAAATTTCACAGAATTAAGACTTGACCAATACAAATGTGTACAGTAAGAAAGGACTTCTAAAACATAAAAATATATAAAAATTAGAATTCATGATAGTCTAGTTAAATTGAAATTAAATCTTTTAATAAGATTGAAAAATTAAAAACTTAAATTAACAGAAAATATTCACAGCTAAATTTGAGAAGAACAATAGAGTAGGAATCCAATATTTGGATGATGGAGATATATTAAGACGATACTACAATAAAATTGGAATAAAAGTTTTTAAACAAATTATAAAATTTATTTTATCAGGACTCTGATTATACTACCATGCCTATGTACACCCTTGTGAGGAATCATTATGGACATGATACTGAGAGAATATAGTTAAACTTTTGCTTTTATTTTGAATATGTTCAATTGTAAATACGTACATAATAATAATCCAGAACCAAAAATAAATATAGATGATAAAAGTCCCGTCATCCTTCTGAGTATACCAAAAGCAAAGCTGCTTCAAATATTTATAAAACACTTTTGTATTATTCCAGCAAGGTGATTTTCATTAAATATTTTAAATGGATAATCAAAAACTTAATTTTTATCAATTAAAATTTATTAAAAAAAAGCTTACATATTGGCATAGCTGGGCGATTAAGCTGTCCATCTAAGTTCCAGTTGAGATTTTAACTTAGTGTAATACTATGTAAATATACTGTGTTCTCTTATGATAAGACAGTAAACATTAGTCAAAAAAGTTTATACAGGTTGCAGAAAATTTAAATTCCATAATTGAGGTATAAACAAAATCCAAACTCTAAATTTTGAAAAGTGGCATCAGCCGATTGCGGCTTCTGAGTTTGCCAATTGATGGAACATAACCTGGGTGAGTTTAGTAATATGCATACCTGCCAACTCTTCTGGTTTTCCGGGATGAATTTTTTTTCTTCATATTTAAAGTGGTAGCAAAATTCATGTTATTTCACTAAACTTTTTGAATTATATTAATAATTATAAATGAGTTTGACCACCACTACATATAAATAATTACAACAAATATATAAAAAGCATATTAGTCCTCACGATAGCGAATTTCAACCTGGTTAAAATATAAATATATTTTTGAGTAAAACTGTTTTTCGGTAATTGTTTTACTACCACTTGGAAAATCCATTCTCGAAAAGAACGAATGTTGGCAGGTATGAATATGGAGTCAGTCTCAGTGGGGCATGCTTCTAATCCTGAAAGCGATTTAGAGTCCTACATATCTTAATTCTTTTCAGAAATTAAAGGAAGAGTACGTATGTTCCTTACATTTTTGAAAATTGTGAATCAAAAATTAAGATTTAAATCTTTTCTAAATTAGCTTGTTCATTTAACAGAATTATTTGAAATTGTGATAAAAGAATTATTATTAGATCAATAATTATGACATCACATGAAAACTACGAAAGTCAGGAGTCAAACAATTGCTTATAATTTAAAAGTTGAAGCAATTCAGGGTGCACTAAACTGCCTCGATGCCATGAAACTCACCCACATTTAAAAACTTTCAAAAAAGGTACTGAAAAAGTGTTAAACTGCAATACTTATTGTAGCGATTTATATCATGAAAATCTAAAGACCATAAATTAAAGAGATGTGTGAAATAGAACTAGATCTCTAAACTGAACCTCTATTCTGTGAAATAGAACCTTCTACATGTTTCAGATTCATTGATGTTTTTTGGAAGTCTCGATGTAGATGTATTCCAGAGCATTGCTCCTAGCTCTTTGTTAGGAAATTATTTTCTTTTTGCTGCTTTTAACAATTCTTTTAATTATTTAATAGTTAAGTTTTCTTGTTATTCATTTGATTTAATTAGTTTAAATTTTATTTCATATGTATGGAACTGCTATCCAATTTCACTAAAATACAGACTTCTTGCTTTCAAAAGGGGAATTGCAGTAAAAAAATTAAAAAAAAGAGGTCTAACGGTTTTGCTTTAGCACAAAATATGTATTAAAAAGTGACATTTATCAGAATGTTTTATTGCATAATAATTGTAACCAGTTTAATCAACAAACAATAAAAAACTATATCTTAAGGGTGCCTAAATAGATCAATATGTAAAAATAATACTTTACTTGCAGACATTTTATATTTAGAAAGCTCATCCCAAATAAGAGATCTTGCAAAACAAATTTCTTGAGAAGATTCATTAGTAAGACCAAACTTAAGATTGTAAGTTTTGCTGCATTTTCCAGATACAAATCGGCTTTTATCCATATTAGTAGACATAGCAATCAAAAGATCAAAGAATAGAGATACCTAAGAAGCAAAATAGGTTTGAGCAGATTAAACAATTGATAATAATAAACTTTAAGACTGTATTTAACTCATCAAATAATCTTGAAAAAAGTTTCTAAAAGCAATTACTATTAATAATAATAAATAAAGTAATCTGAAAATAATTCAAAAATGCTTAAAACATGACTAATGTTTAGTATAATTAACATATACAATCAGAATTATACCTGCTTTAACGAAATAATATACAAGTGAATTTCACTCTTAAATGCATCTTATGCAGTTTTCTTTAAATAGTTATAAAAATGAAAGATCTTGTTATTGTTTCGCAATTTTTTTAAAAAATTTATAAATAACAATTAATTAGAAAAATAAGAAAGTTTCTTAAATGGTTATAAGAAGTTCTAGAATTATTAACGAAAAACAATAATTATAGTCTACTTAGTGCGCAAGATCATTAACTAATAACAATCAGATATTAGTTTCCTTTTAAATGATTTGAGAGTAAAATAGGATCTGATTATAAGAAGTGTTCTCCCTAAGCGTTTTCAGAAGAGTGGCCCGTTCCGTCTGCCCTTTAATTCCTATTAAAGCCCTCTCTTTGCCCTTTTTGTTAAAATAAGCCATAATCCCTTAAAAACACTGTTTTTTAATATATTTTTTCAAGATTTTTTCTTAACCTCCCCTGTTAATGAGAAGTTCATTTCAGATTTATTTTGTTATAGATTCAGATTTATTTAACTTTATTTTTAATTTCATTCCTTCATTTTAGTAAGATTTTTCTTAAGTTGTCTAGTTATATAACTAAAATACACACGAGATTCGGCCTTAGAGATTTTCACATCTTATATATAATGATTTTGTAGTGATTTTATGTTTTAGCATTTATATAATTTTAATAAATACCTTTTTACTTAAAATGCCCCTTTAGATGTTTATTTTCTCATAATTTTCAGTTCAAAATGCAAAAAAAAAAAAAAAAAAAAAAAAAAAAAAAAAAAAAAANAGTGGGCAAAAAAAAAAAAAAAAAAAAAAAAAGTTTGTTTATTGATTAATCCCTCTTTCTTAGTTTACTTTTTCTTTTTGATGAAAATTTATACACAGATATTGTTTTTTAGTTCGCCTTCAATTGTTTTTAAAAACTTCAACTTTTTCTGTTATTTTGATAATGAGTGAGAATAACTTTGTAGTAAAATATGCACATAAAATATTATAAAAGGGTAATTTAAAAATTCAGGATAAAATTCATTTATTACATAATACTAATACATATTTTGATAACTTTGATCAATGCTTAAGTAAGTGCCCCTTCAAAACTCAAAGTGTCTTTTTCTGCGAGTAGGCCCCCTGCTCTTTTATTCATAGGCAGAACTCTATAAAAAGTAGTTAAGACCACACTTATTAAAATTAAAGAGTAAAAAAAAATCAGCTTATTTAATACCTCCTCCTTCAGCTTGACAACTAGTACAGGCCAGAGCTTTTTATCTGGCTCGATCAGGCGATACGCTTCGCCATTTATTGATGCCCATGGTAAGTTTTTTCTCATGGAATCAATCCATTTGATGTTTGGGTTTTTAGAAATTTTTTCAAAAGTCAACTTTTAACAATGTGACCTAGTCATCTTATTCTATGGGATTTAATAACTAAAATTAGGTTTGGTTGCTTAAATTTTCAATATAATTCATAATTGTACTGGATTTGCCAAACATCATTTACTTTAACAGCTCCAAAGTTGGCTCAGAGTATTTTTCTTTCAAAAATAAGTAGTTTATTTTCAATAGATTTATTTAAAGGCCAGCATTAATTTCCATTAAGTACTACAGTTTAATTACAGTTATAAATAAATTAATTTTAGTTTTAATGGAAATAAGTCTTATTTAATTAAAATTGTATAATTAAATTGAACTTAATTGAAATTTAATGGAAATAAGCCTTATCTCAGCTTAATTCTCAATTTAAAATAACACCTATTAGCCATCATCATCTGTTATTAATTTATGTTTTGAAATCATTATTAACTTCATCAAGAGTTCCCTAGTGAGTTCGATCCTCACTGGCCGAAGACTCACCATGTACAAAATGGTGGCTGATGTATGCTAAATCTGTCTGGGCAAAAAGTCCTCCAAGTTCCCATTACAAATCAATACCTCTGGGTTTACTGGATTGGATATTGATCGTGCTCTGGTTCAGGTCAAAATTACGTTTTGTGGATGGATGGATATTACGTGAATGCATGTTCCCTGTAAAACAAACTGTGATGTATGTGTGTGGCAGAAGTCGAATTCTTGATGCCATTGATGGGTCCATTGGAAAACAAGAAGAACACACCCCTCTGCCTTAAAATAGGCTTGTAAGTATTGACAAGTCGCATTAGTCATCAATAACAACAATAGTTTCCTAATATATTTTTAATTAAGAAGTTTGGTAAAATTTTTCCTGTGATTATAATTTTCAATATTCACGTCAATATTTATTATTGCTTTTATATCAATCTTAATTCTGCCGCATAGATCTCTGTTTTTATAATTAAAAAAAATTTTAAAAATTTGCTTTTATAATTAAAATGTATTTACTCTTCTGCTTTGAAAAGCCCTTAAAAATTCATATGAAATATTCTTCATAAAATTGTCATTTTCTTCAAATTTAATGTTCATATTAACAAATTTAATGCAACACACAAAAAATTAACTAGGGAAAAGAAATTTATGAAAAATTGTTTAAAAATGTTAGACAGAACAATTTTAATTTGAAAATTAGACAGATTCCTTACTTGTATTGGATCATTACCACTGTCAAGGCCTAGATATGTACAGCTGTCTAATGGAGCTTGCACATGCAAAGCAAGAAAACTTTCAGCTACATTAGAATTTAAGAAAACAATTCCAGAGACCTGTAAGAAATAGAAAGTCAATAACATTTTAAAGGGAAAAAAAGTTATTTTTCATAAATTGAATAGCCTGAAATCTTAAAATAATTATTTAAAGCAATGAAGAATGCATTTTTTTTTTAGATTTGACATTAGAAATATATATATTAAAAAAAGAGAAAATTTTACAGTATAATAAATTTATTAACAGAAAATATTTAATTAGTATAATTTAACTTACTATAGGCACTTTTTCATCCCCTTGAGAAATTTGTTTAATTTGATCTTGCGGGGCACAGTAATTTATATCAGCAACATAACCCTAAAAATATTTTGAAGTTCTAAAATCAATTTTAATAAAATAAGAATAAATGAATAAAAATGTATCAAAAAAAAATTCTCAAAACTTGTACACATATTTGATCTTGGTAAGTACAATAATTTAATTCAGCAACATAAATCTATAAATTTGGATACTTTTTGTTCATAGTACTGCACATAAAAAATTGTAGTTTGATGTACAGTGTGCAAAATAAAAATTGGAAAGCCTTAAGAGGACGCGATACCCAGATAAAAAAC